GGGGCGCGTGCTGCCGCTCCTTTTCGGACTCGCCCTCATCCGGTCGTTTCCAGCCCCCGGGCGGGCTCGGGGTCCGGTAATCCTCAGGCCCTGCCCCGCCCCCAGCCCCCAGCCCCCCAGCCCCCCAGCCCGCAGCCGCTCCCGCACGTCCCGAGTGAATGACGGAAACTGACGTGGTCGCCCCGAGAATGCCCGCGGCTGCCACGGGCGCCCTTCGGGGCAGGCGATGCCCCCCGCCAGCCTCCGGGCGATGCTGAGGCACACGTCGGGCTCTGGGTCCCGGGGGGGCTCCTGGTGGGCCGGTGCTGTGGTCAGCTCCCCCTTCGGACGACTTGGGAGCCCCGATGCCTCCTCCCCAAATCCCTTACGTCCTTTGGGAAGAGTCGCAGGAGCGGTGTTTGCATTTTTCCAGTGACTGCAGACTTAGTTTCCCTTGAATTTTGCGGGGTCCCAGGCTCCCGAGGGCAAGGGCCAGGCTGAGCCGCCCCCCCCCTGCCGCCGTGACATCACTCCGATCACTGGATGAATGAAAACCGGCCGAGCTCTCCGTGGCTGCCCGCTGGGCCTGCCTCCTTCGGGGCCTCCTCTGGCACCTATTCGGCGTTTAGCCTGGGTGATTGGGGGGTGAGGGCTGGGATCTGCATAATGACCCTGAGGGCCGGCGGCTTCCTAAATGTTAGCTAGACCAGGACTGCCGAGGGTCATTTTTGGCTTTTCTCTTAAAAGCAGCAGACCTGGCTGGCCATCCTGCAGTCTGATGATCAGGTCCTCTGTCTCACTGTTCAGGCACATCCCACACACTTCGGTTTTTGGGGATAAAAACTCCCTTGTCGTCAATCGATTGTACCATGACTCGAAAGTTTTTAAGGGCTGTAAAGAGAGATATTAAAAACTGTGTTTAGTTTGTGCTAAACTTTACTGTTTACCATCGGAGTGGGGAAATTTTCTTTAGTTATGAGATTGCTTCCAACATCTGCTTGAGGTGGTTTTGTTGGAATGGAAAATGCAAGTTCTTCCTGGCCCTGAAGCCAGAATGTAGGATTTCATTTCGTTGAGGATATTTTTTCCTGTGTCGCGGTGCCTAGCCGGGTTGGCACTTTGTAGTGCCTAGTTGGAGATGGGGCCCTCCAGGACACTGAGCAGCCAGAAGGAAAGAGGAGGGACTTAGTCATTTCTTCTGAAGCTTCTTCCCAGGTGGCTTTTGCCAAAGGCATCTAAAAATAAAACCAATACTTCCTGTAGGTCCAGTCATTGTAAATTAGGGCTAGCCTTATTTGAATTTGAACATTCCCATTGATGATATTTTACATAATTATCCCTTTAAATAATGTGAATTTGACACGTGACCACTTGTGGGCTTTTGTTTTCATCCAGCAGGACTTGGTCACATCTCAGTTCCAGTGCCCTAGAGTTGTCTCTTAATTAGTTAATAGTAGGATGGAAAGGGCCACTCTTTATTGTTTGAAGATTGATTGCTTTCTTTACAGGTGGGGTCAAGGACAAAAACCCAACCCACCCAACAGCTCCCCAGTTAGGGAAAGGCCTTGCCATGGGCTTTGCTAGTGCACTTTGGGCCTCGATTGAGTTTTGTGGCTCCAGTAAGAGTTTAATTGCCTTAGGAGCTTTCTTCAGGCTTGAGCATATCCACTATTATGTTTCTCTTTCTAAAAAGCCTTTAGGAAACCAGCCACAACTCAGTCAGCGACCTTGAAGGAAGGTGACCTGGGATGGTTTTTGGCCCTCCGTATTTACAGCCGAGCTGTGGGGGGAACGCACATCGCGTCTTCTTCCCTCCGAAGAAGGCTTTCCATTCGCTCTGTACTTAGATGGGCCTGTTTACGTCCGAATTTCTTAGTCACATTCTACTGGGGAAATAATGCGGACATAAACAGGCCCAACAGCCTGGACCACTACATTCAGAGTTGGCTTCTTCCTCAAGCAGAGGAGGCCTAATAACCACCTGTGGTCACGGTGACACTGAGTTTCCAGTAAGCCCTAATTCCTCCCTTACTGGAGGGGAGCCTCCTAGGACTTGTCACACTATCTGCTCGTAGTCTGCCCCTGCTACCATTGTGCTTTTGACACCAAGGTAGGCTTTTGTTCTCTTATTTCCTCAAGAAGGGACTGGAGCTTCTTGTATGCACATACAAGGAGTCGGAGACCTCCAGGTCCCTCGTCATAGCACAAAATGGAGAAGATGGGGCTTGGAGCCCCGCTGCTTCCCCAGCAGATCAGTGGGGCTTGGTGCTCGTGGCCAGCATCTGCCTCTGGGAGCGTCCAGTTCCTTTAGGCCAAGCGGCAGGGACCACGTCCTCATGTTGCAGCCACTCTATTTCATTAGCCCGGACTCTTTGTAAATCCCCGGCATGAGACAGATTACACTCTATGGCCCTCTGAAGAGCGAAGGATTTTACTGCCCTCAGATTGATGAAACACACTTAGGAAAAGTTGTCACTAAGAGATGGAAGAGTCCATGTCAGGACCTGGGAGCAGGCCCAGAGCCCCTAAATGCCCTCTAGGGACATTAGCCAGCACTCCGGATCTGCTTAGCAATGTCAGCAAGGTGCCCCGTTTTCTGCAGGGAGCGTGCCCTAAGTCTATGCTGGGCAGAGGCCGTGGCTTTGGGGGTTGTCTGAGACCTTGCAGTTGACGCGCCATCATCCAGCCCAACCCCTCACTGGTCACAGTGACAGGAGCGGCAGATCTGGGACTTTGCCTGGGTCAGGTCTGACTCCATGGCCTTGGTCTCGTGGGGGTCACAGGGCACCTCCTGAAGGCTGCTTAATTGGTTTGCACCGTGGCAGAGGCAGGTTCAGCTGGGTCATTTACTGGTGACGTCAGCAATGTTCTGTGCCTTCTTCCCAGTGATAGGAGAAGTACCAGCACGTGAAAGTCACTGAGGGAGCAAAGGAGGTCGGGCCCCCTTCCCAGCCTCTGCCTTTGCTCCGTAGCTTGTGGCTGTTGGTGCCCCTTGCTCAGGGCTGCAGCCTGGGTGGTTTGCCTATCTCTACCAGACACTGCCAGGTTTGAATCAGCTCCCAGGGGTCCACAATGCCCTTACAGAAATCTGTGAAGAAATGTCCTAAATGGTTGCAAAGTATGCAGAGCCTCCTCTGGAATCACGGCTTGCCATTGACTGTCTGATCCACGGCCACTAGGTTGGTTCGCCTCTCCTCTCCCCCCCCATGCCAGTAAAGGCTGTCACCGCCGTTTGTCTGTGGCTGCGTTGGCTTAGCTCCCCAAGAAGAGGGGAGGGAGAGAGGAGAGAAAGCCAAGTGGCCAGTGAAGTCAGTGGGCCCTGGGCCCCAGGCCGCCGAGCCTATGGGGCCTGCCTCTTATGAGGGGAAGCAGAGTGATGGTGGGGAAACTTGGAGACCCTCTTCAGACCTTCTTGCCTCCTTCAGCCCAGTGAAAAACAGTGCACATTTTTGATACCTGCAGTTTCGTGTGACCCTGGAACCCAAGTTGTTCTGTGGCTTGAGGTACCCGAAAGGCAATTGGAGATGCGAGATTGGGGTGGGAGAGGTGGATTTGAGAATCATGAACATAAAGCTAGTAATTGAATTGAAGGGAGCTGATGAGGTCACTAAGGGCATGAGTCTAGAGGGAGAAGATGACCCAGGAGAGAACTGGAGGGACACCTAGGGTCAGAGGGCATGATCTGGAGGAGGGTGCAGCAGAGCAGACAGAGGAGGAGTGGTCAGAGAGAGAGGAGAACAGAGAGAGACAGAGACAGAGAGGACAGAGAGAGAGACAGAGACAGAGACAGGAGAGAGGAGGAGAACAGAGAGAGACAGGAGAGAGAGAAAGAGAAAGAGACAGTGAGGACAGAGACA